TCAATTACAAAGAGTTAGAAATTACAGTCTTCAGATTTACTTTCACTGTACTTTTTGTTGTCTAACATAATATATTGTTTTCAATTTTTTTTTTCCAGGGAAAAATTTTGAAATGTCACCTTTTTTCTTATTTTTCCCATTATAAGATATGAGGAACTGTCTAATGTGCTTAGCTTTGAAAAAAAACTGTTTAGCCTATTGCAGACTAGTATTCTGGCAAAGATGGTGCAGTAGAATAGAAGAGTGACTCTGATAAGACATTTGACCCAAGGTTCTGATTTGTGATAATGCTTTCCTGTGCTTGTCTCTTGGCACACTTCACTTGCTCCAACACTGAATGCAGTGTTGATAATACCAATAACATCCATATTCATCTTCTTTTTCTTAATTGCTTATATATAAATGTTTTCCTCACACTATTACCTTAATAAAACAAGGAAAAGGAGCAACTTCTGTGTAGATAGATATGAATTTTTAGCTCATCCCATTTTTAAAAATTATATTCTTTGTTCTAATTTGACTTATAATTTCCTACGAATGCCTGAGCTTATTTGTCTAAACTTCAATATAAAGTTTATTTTCTAGGAGTAATAGAAGCAGAGGCATGATTTGTGTTTGTTGATCTTGCCAAAAAAAGGGAATATAAGAAATGGATGTATGATTTGAGTATGGTTGGGTGGGTTATGTCATCCAGTGTGATGAAGGTCTCTCTGCACGTACTTTGGTCTTACTGATTACCCTGTTAGTTGATGGAGACAGAATTAATTTTAAGACTCCCAACTGGAAGGTGAAGTTGTATATTAACATAAGTACTAAAGCAAAGTAACAATGAATTAATAGAATTTCAGGGTTGGAGTGAACATTGTTTAATCCAGGGTTTTATTTTACATCAGTAGAAGCTGAGGCTCTGAGGGTTTTCTTAATTCCCATCATTGATTTAAAGTTATTAAAGAGGACATTTGATTTTAAAAAACAACTTTTATGTGTCATCTTCCCTGTCTATGAGAAATTTTTAGGGGTAGTGTATGTTAGAAAGTTTTAATTTCTATCTTCTTCATTAAGAATCCTTTTACAGGGTAGTTAATAAGGGTACATGATGTACAAGCAAAAGATAATAGTCCAATAACAAGCTATTTTAAGAAAAATTGAAATTACAGTGTCACTATTATTAAGCAGGCAGTTCAATTTGTAGATAAGAGTAAACCTAGTTTGAAACAGTTTTCAAAGGGAGGCTCAGTTTAGAAGTAGGTATTTCTAATCTAAACAAGCCTCTTTATATAAATAAACTTGACATGAATAGTTGGAAGCTTATATTGCCTATCTGTGGCCATTGAAGTATCATTTAATCTGTTCCTAAAGGGTTCAGATTTTTATATCAAGGGTTTTATACAAATATTTTCATTAGGCAAAGTCTTGCAAATCTCCACTAGTTTAATTCTTTCAGACATTTTATTTTGGCAGTCTGACTCAACACACCCTTTTATTACAAAATAGAATTGAAACTGACTCAAAGACAACTCCATAAACCATGTGTATATTTTCTGTCATATTAAAGCTATATTTTCTCCTCTTGAACATTTGTTATACATCAACACTAAAGTAAACACACCAGTGGTCCAGAAACCAAGTCTGAACAATTCCATGGATTATCTTCTAACTAACTAGCACATGAATTTATAGTGGCTTATTCATGATGAAGCTATATATGTATTTTGATCTTACTTGCTAATCATTAGTAATAAGGCCTTTTTAGAGTTGGCTTAAAATAAATTTTCTGAAATATGTAATAGGATAGAATAAATGGAACCAAGCTTTTAACTATTATTGTGCCAACAAGCCAAAGTAACTCATCAACTCCCCATTACAAATACTCCAATTCAACAATCCCCTGTACTATTATGTGTTATGTTGTACCATGGAATGAAGAAGTTTTAAGCTATTTTATACTGTTGAATGTATCTCTGGAGATTATAAGTGAGATGTTTTAGAAAGTGAAACATTTGAAAAATTATGCTCTTTAGTCTTTAACAGACAACCAAAAGACATATAAATTTACGTATCTTTTTTTTTTTCTTTTTTAGGAGAATTTTTCCTCTTCTATGAGCCTCAAAAAGACTACTGGGGTTTTTTAACCCCGATGACTGTGCCTAGAATCCAGGGCTTAGCAGCTGTATACAAGGACTCTATCTACTACATAGCTGGAACCTGTGGAAATCATCAACGTATGTTTACTGTAGAAGCCTATGATATTGAACTCAATAAATGGACTCGTAAGAAGGACTTTCCATGTGATGAGTCCATAAACCCGTACCTGAAACTGGTACTTTTCCAGAATAAACTCCATTTATTTGTTCGAGCTACTCAAGTGACTGTTGAAGAACATGTCTTCAGAACCAGCAGAAAAAATTCCCTTTACCAGTATGATGACATCGCTGACCAGTGGATGAAAGTTTATGAGACACCTGATCGACTCTGGGACCTTGGCCGGCATTTTGAGTGTGCTGTTGCTAAACTTTATCCTCAGTGTCTTCAGAAAGTCCTCTGACGAGTAGCAGGCCTTAGTTGAGCTCACTGGCATCTCATGCTTGAGGAAACTTGGTCTTTCAATGATTCAAGAAGTGCTGTCAGTATTTAAGAGAGCTGAGAGAGTTTGTTTATGGAAGTGGGTGCTCTTAAAGATAATGGTGGGTGGGCTTTCATTTCATCCTTGTGATGTTTTCATTTCATTAAGCAAAGGGTAACAAAGTGCAATTATCAGCCTTTTTTTTTCCCTGGTGTAAAAGTGATCATTTTCATTCTAGAATTTTGTGATAGTCACTGAGCTACCAGATGAATCAACAACTATGCACTCCTACAAGAGCAGTTAGGGTATTAACTGGTTAGAGATATCCAAACTAGTTTGATGTGACTTTATTTTAAATACGGGTAAAAATCTGAGGCAATATCACTAGGATTTTAGCTGTGACCTCTCTAACACAGAGAAGCACTAACTTAGATCCTCTTTCTTAATATGTAAATATATATATGTACACACACACATATATATGTATATATTTGTGTACTGTTTTCAAGTGTACTGAGATGTAAGTGTGTTCTGTTATGAGACACATTGGAGGAAAAGCAAATCCGTCTCAAAGAGCTTTTAGTCTGTTTCTTGTTTCCCATGTATATTTAAGAAGTAGCAGTTTTCTGTTGATAAGTTTTCAAGTGCTAAACTAACACTGTCATTTTTCAAAACCCTGAAAAGGGTTCAGTTTCCCAGGTGGCTGGTGCTAGTGTAAGTTAATTCATGTGTATAGCTAGGTAGATTTGAAATGTCTGAGCCTATGCTTACCTATCAAACTGGGATGTTAGTTTTGTGGCCATAGTACTTTACCTGTTAAACTCTTGTGATTTCATAATATTCTCTATTTCTGTGATAGCAACATATGGCCAGTAATTGGTCAAAGTGGGCTCAGAAAAGTTGAGAACATTATACTCATTTTGCACTAACAGGTCATTCTGTTGTCTGACCACCTCTCCCATCCTCCACCTGTCCATTCATTATTGGTACAATGAAAGGTAATTTATTTGTCTTCCGCACAGAGCATAATGTGAAGTTTTACACTTACTTGTAAACTTCCATTTTCCAGAAACATAAAACTCCTTCAGTGGTCTAACTTAATGGCTTTATGTTACATATGAGAATTAAAACTTCAGTTTTTTTTCTTTGCACTTAACAGTAATGAATATTTTTACATTGAAAACCTTGTTCTAGGTGAAACTGATTGACAATGAAAAGAGTGAGTGATAGAACCATAGCATTAAAGGTACTAAGTCATTTTTCAGATTCAGTTAGGAATATTAACATAAATGACAACCCAACTCGTTTGTCATACCTGAGGTAGATACTTGGATCAGTAACTTATTTTGTCCTCTGCCTAGAGTAATTGATAAAGGATATAAGTGTAGCCCAGAGTCTGTCCTCAACTAGAACATTTTGATTCTCTTGAAGAAAACAAACTGGCATGGTTTGTATTAAAAACTCTTGCACAAATTGTAATGTGATACTGTGAAACGAATTTAAAACATTGCCTCTTTGCATCACATACCTCGTTTTTCAGAAACTTTCCAAACTGCTTGTCCTAGACCTCTACAAGTAGGGAATGTTATCTGAAGCAGAATTTAAAATGGACAGCATTTATAGAATTAACATTTTAAAATCCAGTCTTGGCAAGTTAGATGTGTGGTTTCTGGTTATTGGCCTTGAAAGTGTGTCTATAATCTGTTTATGAACTTTGTCAACCAATAATCTATTTTTGATCTCCAGTTTTTCTTTGTCTTCGTGATTTTTGGGGCTATTTCTGTGTTCTTTGAAGCATCTTTTCAGTGTTTTATTGTAGAACACAGGAAAAAACAAGTAACTTGCAAGACATGTTCATGGAATTTATTTTTGAAAGCTTAGTTGACTAAGATGTCCTGCCACTTTTTGACAATCTTCTGTATTTATTTAGATAAATGTGCTACTTGAAAATATGACATAAAGCATTAAGACAGCAATTTACATGTGCTGTCTGATATACAGGAGTGTAACATACTGTGGTTAATACTGCAGCAGATTTAGTTTGTTGATCTGCACAACAGTTGAGTCTTTTGTTATAACAATTTATACTGAGGGTATAATCTGAGCACAGTGTGTCAAAGCCAAGGTTTAGAATTTGCTGTAGGAATAGAATATATATTGAATTTTGTATGAAGAACTATTTGTTAAAATTATATAACTGGGATATTTTGCTACTTTTAAAATGATTTCAGAAGAAGTCCTAGAAAACTAAGATTAGTAATATGTGTGGGTATATGTTTAAATATTTAAGGTACTTTTGCATAGTGTGATGAGAATATAAGTAAAAGGCACAATGGGTACTACAGAATTCAAATTTAGGTTAACATATGCCAGTCCCCCTGTAACATTGTTTTTGCCCTTGAAGAATGTATGTAGCACTTTCCTATATATTTTTTACAATTGAAGACTGGACTTGGTCTAGCAATGTTATAGGAAAGTAGAAATTGTGTTCTTTATTTTCCATCTTTATTCTCTGTTACTGTACAAAGTTGATGCTTAAGCATCAAGCTGGTTTCACTGGTGCATGAGAAAAAGTGGATGTGATCTGCAAGGAATTGGATTCCCTGTGTGAAGCAGTTAAAAATGGCATTCAATGTTCAGTGCTCAGGTATGTAGTAAGTACTGTAGTCCTTTGGGGGCAAATGTGTAGATATTTTTAAACATTTTGCCATAATTGCACAATTTTTTGCATTTTTACCTGATGGCATTGTTTCTTGTAATAAAACCTTTTCTGATTGAAAACTTCCATTGTTGTCAGTGACCTCTGACTTATAACTTTTGCAGAAAATTTAGCAAAAATTATGAATACCTTATATCATGGTAGAATGGAAGAAAAATGTATCAAGTACCTGGCCTCTGATACAAAATGAACTAGTTAATATCACCTTATATAATGCTCTTTAAACTCTGAGGCAAGCTTACTCACACCAGTAACTCATTTGTTTCATCTGTTCTAGCCCAGACTCTTGTTATTCTACTCCTCTCTCTCTTACTTCCAAACCAAACCATTAGGAAAGGCTGTTGCCTCTTCCTTCAAAATGTACCTAAATGCTAACCACAGACCACTTACACCACTATCACCCTGGTCTGAACTAGCCTATAACCTGCCTGCTTCCATGCAGCATTGCCACTGAACTGGTCTGTCTTGTCTCCTTTGCCCCCTTGGAATCTATTGTGTTCTCCACAGAGTAGCCAAAGTGATCCTGTTAAAACATAAGTCAGATTGCATCCCTCTTCTGCTCTAATCCTTCCAATGGCTTCCCATCTCCTCTCCTGTGAGAGCCAGACTCCTTCCTTACACGATCTGTGCCTCGCAACCCCACCTCTCGGACCTCATTGCCACTCCACCAGCTCACTTGATTCCAGTCGCACCGACTGCTGCTCCTCAAACACGCCAACCCCCTCTGACATCTGGACCTTTACCCTTGCTGTGTCATCTGCCAAGGAAGCCCAGACAACTCACTTACCTTATTCAAGTTTCTATTCAAATTCCAGAGAGGACTTCCGTGACCCCCCTTATGTAAAATAGAACATCCCCCTTCCAACTCCACGTCCACTAGACCACCTGTCTTTTACTGCTTTAGTTTTCAAATATCTTCTCACATTGAAAAATAAGCTCCACAAAGGCAAGGGATTTATTTTAGTCATTATGCACCCCAGACAAGTACCATGCACATATTAGACACTCAACAAATGTTTCTAAAAAGAAAGAAATTTTCGGTTAAGTCTCAGAGTAGCCTGAGAAATGTGGGACCAGGATTATCCTCTCCTTTTATCGGAGAAGAAAACACAAAGACCATTTAAATTGCTGAGGGTCACTGAACTAATGAGAGACTGAGCTGAGCTGAGAACAAAAATTTCCGTTTTCACTTCAGCCAGGTTCCTACGTGCTGCATGAGCTCCAGACAAAACCGATAGAAAAGGTAAATGCTCTGTTTTTTGTATTTAATGGTTGCTTTTTACTAGTCCTACTTTTTCCCCCACATTATTATTTAAAATATCTACTGTAATTTGAAACTGATTGCTTTCACCGAAGCAGTAGATAAGGTAGGGAAAGACCTTCTCTTCCCCGTGTGCACACCTTCGTCATCATATCCTTAGGCTGATATTCCACTGTTAAGAGTCCTGTCCCTCCAGTAAGTTGAAGAAAAATAGAAAAGGAGAAAAAGTGAGTTAGAGTAACTCTTTTGGTTCTTAAGTAAACTCAAACTGAGTGGCCATTTTAAGATGTTAGTTGTGTACCTGTGTTTTTTATTGAAAAATCATTCGCAAATAAATTAAAAAGTCATCTAGGATCTGTAACTCTTCAGAAGAATGCTGTAAACAACACCTAGTTTTTTTGGAAGTGAAATTCTGACTTTTATATAATCAATTTGACTGGGAGAGCAAAGCATTTTCCTTTCATTTTATGTTTCTAGGATGTACTAGGGCTTCCTGACTTGGCATTTTGGTAGCCACAGTTGAAGTGGTTTTCAAGAGTACACATGAAAAGGTACCATTAACTCCTATGTGTTTGGGTAAGTATTGAGTTGATGCGTCCCTTAATCCTCCTTCTCCACACTTCCCTCTGGCTACATCTGTCTCTCTGGTAGCAGACTCCAGAACCTAGGAAGTTGGGCATCTGGCTCATAAGTCTGCTGATGTTCCTTTTATGGTAACATGCTGTAGCCCAGCTTACTGTGCTGTAGCCCAGCTTACTGTGTGTACACACAGAAGGAAGCTACTCTGCAGGTTTGAGCAGGTGAACCAATATGGCTGCCATGCCAGAAAAGGGAAAAGTGCAGACTTCCCAGTCACAAAGTAAACATTTGGACATTCAAACTGATCTGTAACAGAAAAAATGTTAATCTATGAACGTGCAACGTATTTTATGACTGCTGAAGGGGGCACAGGCCAGTGTGACTTGGGTAGCCATAGACACAATATTTACTTCCATTTTTCAAACACATATTTTAAAACATTTAAATGATACAAAATATCTAATAAACTTCCCCCTAGCTACCAATTATTATTCAATCTCATTTGCTCGACAACCCTATTAGTGATTAGGTTTTTGGCTCTCACTGCAATGCCAATCCATTGACCCCACTGCTTTTCCTATTATCCATCAGCCCCTACTGGGACCTTTTCTGAACTTACCCAACTTAAATTCCATGATCCATTCAAAATAATGTCATTTTACACCTCCTCTACTACCATACTTGCCTGACAAACTCCAACACCGAATGATCTCAGCTAAAAGTCTTCTCTGTGCCTGGCCTCGGTGCTCAGAGAAATATTGCTGGAAAAGCCCATGGTCAAACTGACACACTTTAAATGACATACCTCCAATGGGTTCTCAACGTGTGTAGCAATTTTACCTTTTCTCTAACTGCCATGTCTTTATCCCTCTTGGTTCTGAGCCCTTTAACAGTCTTCATGATGTGCTGAGAGGACAGAGGACATGACTCCGGCGCTCCCTCACCTCCCCACCGTCTGCCTGCCATTTTCTCTGCTCTTTCCTCTTGCAAAGGAGGAGGCGGGCTGTTTCTACCCGTGGTTGATGATGCTCGGCTCCCGCCCACTCTTACTTCTAGGGCCTTGGTTCCTTGACCATTTGCTCTCCTGAATCACCCGACATTCCCGCTTCTCAGATCATCCTACTAGTATAAAAAAAACACCCACTTTTTCTCCCACTTAGCAAACCACCACCACCACATTGCCTTTGGTCCAGACCCCTACAGTGACCGCCCCTTCTCCTGGCCTCCATGAAAGCCAAACTTTTCTAATGGGTTGTTTGTATTTCCTCACTTGCCTTCACTATTGAACTCACTCCAGTCAGTACATTCTCCTCATAACCAAAACTGCTTTCATCAAGGTCTCCGACAACATTTATGCCGTAAAGGCATCCTTCCCTTTGCAATCCTCATCCCACGTGATTCCCAGAAGTGTTCAGTACACGGGACTGCTATCTCCTTTCTGAGGCCCTTTCCTTAGGGGGCTTCTGGCACATCATGTGTTGAAATTTCCTTTCTTATCAGCCTCTCCTTACTTACCCTCCTTTCCTGGCTTCTTCTCTCCCTGGGTCCTCTTCTCTTTACTCTTCTCACCTCGCCTCCTATTCTGATCTCACCTATTCCTATGGTATTAAATTCCATTTGCACATAGATGACTTCTACATTTATATTCTCAAACCATATTTCTACTCTTGGCTCCCGATTTGTATCCCACTGCCTACTCGACAGCTCTTGTTGGGTTGGTGGGGACATCTCAAACTCATCCTTGAGTTCTCCCTTCCCATCATTCCCTGCATCCACTCAGTCCATCAGACAAGTCCTGAATGCTCTAGCTGCACCATGTGATTTGCATCTGATGACGCCTCTCCATTTCTACTACTTCCTCTTAGGCCCATGTCTCAGTTATCCATTCCCAGTACAAGACACAGTTCGATCTTAAAGCAAATGGTATTATGTTTTGGCCAAATGCAGGATGTAGCAGTTCCTTTCCAAGCACTACATACATGGCCCCTTGCTTACTTCTCCAGCCTTATCCACTCTTTCAGCCCTTGTGGGTTCTCTTCCTATACACTTTGGCACTCACTATTCCCATGCATAACTGCAACTACTTGCAATTCTTGCCAGCTGCTGGATCCTGCCTGAGCCACTGTAAAGCAGGCTGGAAATGCCAGGAATTAATACGCCTGAGGAGCAGCCTTCAGCCAGTTCCTGATGGGAGCTGGTTGATAGAGATATCATCTTCATTCAGGTGGGATAAGTGAGGCATGTTCATAACTGTCTCCTGGCGTTCCCCAGTGTGCATAAGTCCTACTTGCCCATTATCCCGCACGACACCCACACCTTCCCTGATTTACTATGAGCAGGTGAACCAATATGGCTGCCATGCCAGAAAAGGGAAAAGTGCAGACTTCCCAGTCACAAAGTAAACATTTGGACATTCAAACTGATCTGTAACAGAAAAAATGTTAATCTATGAACGTGCAACGTATTTTATGACTGCTGAAGGGGGCACAGGCCAGTGTGACTTGGGTAGCCATAGACACAATATTTACTTCCATTTTTCAAACACATATTTTAAAACATTTAAATGATACAAAATATCTAATAAACTTCCCCCTAGCTACCAATTATTATTCAATCTCATTTGCTCGACAACCCTATTAGTGATTAGGTTTTTGGCTCTCACTGCAATGCCAATCCATTGACCCCACTGCTTTTCCTATTATCCATCAGCCCCTACTGGGACCTTTTCTGAACTTACCCAACTTAAATTCCATGATCCATTCAAAATAATGTCATTTTACACCTCCTCTACTACCATACTTGCCTGACAAACTCCAACACCGAATGATCTCAGCTAAAAGCCTTCTCTGTGCCTGGCCTCGGTGCTCAGAGAAATATTGCTGGAAAAGCCCATGGTCAAACTGACACACTTTAAATGACATACCTCCAATGGGTTCTCAACGTGTGTAGCAATTTTACCTTTTCTCTAACTGCCATGTCTTTATACCTCTTGGTTCTGAGCCCTTTAACAGTCTTCATGATGTGCTGAGAGGACAGAGGACATGACTCCGGCGCTCCCTCACCTCCCCACCGTCTGCCTGCCATTTTCTCTGCTCTTTCCTCTTGCAAAGGAGGAGGCGGGCTGTTTCTACCCGTGGTTGATGATGCTCGGCTCCCGCCCACTCTTCCTTCTAGGGCCTTGGTTCCTTGACCATTTGCTCTCCTGAATCACCCGACATTCCCGCTT